AGTTTTTATTTGGTTCTTTCGCTAAAGGCACGTAGATAGAAAAATAGGAAACAAAAATAAAGTGAATGAAAATAAAAATGATAACAATAAAATAAAAATAATAAAAACACAAAAAAGCATTAATGTAGACTGTAACCTGGTTCTTAATCGTGGCGAGTGTACTGGCAGTCTATAATGTAGACTGTAGTAGCCTGGTTATTAAGCTGGGTGAGTGAACTGGCATGCTGTAATGTAGACTTATTCTTGGTTCTTTCAGTAAAAAAAAGAAAGATATATTTTTTATTGATTTATTATTATTTTATATATATTTTATTACTGAAAGAACCAAGAATAAGTCTACATTATAGACGGTCAGTACACTCACTCCGATTAAGAACCAGGCTACAGTCTACATTAATGTTTTTTTTTGTTTTTATTATTTTCTTTTTATTCACTTTATTTTTTTTATTCTTCTATCTACGTGACTTTACCAAAAATAACCATAGAATATGAATTCCTGCAGTCACGAAAATCAAAGCACACTTTACCTCTAATTTAACAATCTTTGGGAGAACGTTAATCAACCGGGCTATGCGTTAACTCTTGTGTGTTAGCCGACTCTAAATTTGCTTTCTCAAACTTTCGATTTTCTTGCTCTAAAGTCTAAATAATTGTCTCTCCACCGGCCACTGTGGTCCGGAATTCCACACTGCTCCCTCCTTGTCCCCTCGTGCGTCCGCCTCCTCTGTCCTCTCTCTATTTAAGGCCTCGGCACAGATTCGTTGTCCTTCTGTTTGTCTTGGTGAGTGTCTCACTCAGTGTGTCTTTGTGTGTGGTGTGTGTGTCTCTCTCTGCACGTGTGTGTCTGCCTTATGGTTGTTTCCGTGTGTGTGTTTGTCTTGGTGAGTGTCTCACTCAGTGTGTCTTTGTGTGTGGTGTGTGTCTCTCTCTCTGCACGTGTGTGTCTGCCTTATGGTTGTTTCCGTGTGTGTTTTATCATTCATTCTTACCTGACGATGGTTGCTTGTGTTGCAATCGAAACGTCGTCTTTTATTATTATTTGATTTTATTTTCTACGTGACTTTAACCGAAAGAACCATTAGAGACTACTTAAGGTGTATTTGTTTTTCAAGTTGAGTATATGTGCAGTCACAGCCAAACATCGTTAGTGTCATACGTGACTCAGCTTTATAGGGAAACGCAAATACATTTTCAGACTGTGCTGTTTTGATGCCACACGTGGGGAGTTAAATACACTCCGATAAGTGACCACAAAAATGCGGTACAGTGTGAGCATGTGTCACACCCTTCTGTGCTCTTAGTCATTTCCTGGGAGCACGTAAAAGCCTTTGCTGGGGTGTTAGTTGTTTGGTGGCCAGCGGCTCGGCCTGTGTCCAAACATTCCATATGGAGAGTATTAAAGGTTAAATTTCGATGTAAAGCTTTCGTGACTGCAAGGATTCACCTTCTTTGGTTCTTTCGGTAAAGTCACGTGGAATGAGAATGAGAATAAATAATAAATTCTCACGACGTTTCGGCCACAACACAAGGCCACTTCATATTCTTAGCTCATTCGGTAAAGTCACGTTGAAAGAAAGAGCTAAGAATATGAATTACTGCAGTCACGAAAGCTTTAAATCACAAGGCCACTTGTTTTGTGGCCGAAACGTCGTGAGAATTTTATTGTGTTATTTTATTAATTTATAATTTTATTCTCATTCTACGTGACTTTATTAAAGGTTAGACGAGACGTGGGGTTGCTTGCGTGCGATATGCAGTACGAGCTTGCTCTTTGAAGCGCATTGCACCAATAGAATAGATTTTTAGACGTGAAAATGTGCACGTTTTTTCATAAACCTCCGTGGACTTGACCATCCATTCCCTCTCGTCTCACTCACAACGTCTGTCGAATTCCCGAGTCATCATTGGCCCAGTGGAAGATCGCTCATTCCTCCCCAGCTGCCCACATGATCTGGAATTTCCCCCCAGCCGACTGTGCTGGTGACTCTCTGACCATAATCAAGTCAACGCCTTCCTTATCCTCCTTGTGCTCAGCGAATGACTCTTTCTTTCCATAACATAAGCGGGGTGGAACAGTGGCATTGTGCTTAATGTGCACCGCATCCAGGGAACCCAGCAAACCTGAAGTTGATTCCTGGCCGAAACAGGTCCCTAGTACGCCTCACAAACTCGCACTGACCAGAGTGGTGAAGTATGGTGAAACAACCTCGACAACCGACTTGGCGTAGGGAGCCCTACATCCAGCAGTGGATTGAGAAAGGTCTAAATAAAATTACGAGTTAAAATTTTAAAAAATAATGATACTGCCTCTTTCCGTACAGCGTTCTTCAGATGCGAATTGCATTTAGATGCCGCTATATGAATCTACGCTGTACATATGAATCCGCATTGTACTGTACTGTATTGTGCAAGCGTGCTGTAGATTTTTCATTGCAACAAAGGAGGGAAAAAAAGTCAATTCACACGCAGTGGGGGTAATCCTGATTGCATCATCTCTGATCGTTGTTTAGTCATGGAATGTTGATGAGGTCATTCGCAGGGGGAAATCTCTCTTCAGCGTTTCCTGTATTTTGTGAAAACATATTCCGTTCTCTCTTCAACCTAACTTGTTTGGCATAATTATACTCACGACACAGAAATGACACATTTCTTTACAGACGTGTTTGTAAATGTACGTGGCCAAATCACCCAGACTGCGCCTAATCTTCTCAGAACTCAGAAGCTCAGCAGGGTTGAACTTAGAAGTGGCTCGGATGGGTGACAACCACGCATGACAGGTACTATAGGTTAGTTTGGTGCTACATTGTGGGGACCAGAGGGGAGTGAAGACAAATCCATGAATGTGCTCTACTTCTATGCTCTCGCATATGCTCATCCATTTACCAATCCGTATTGGCCAGTGTGTTGAAGTATGGTTAAATATTTCCATGACCTGCATGACCGTAGAACTTACAATAGGGCTGTATATGGTTAGTTTGTTATAGCCCTTTGTTAATCCACTGCTGGATAAAGGCTACCCATACCGTGTCAATCATCGGGTTGTTTCACCATACCTCACCATACTGGTCGTCGTGGGTTGATGAAGGGCGGCCCAGAACAGGCTCAGATTTCACACACACCACTGATACACTCTTGATAAATGCAATTTAGAATAGTACTAATCATGCCTTGTTTTATTCACGTAATGTTTTTTTTCTGCCAGGAAAAACAATTACTGTAAATGACACTCTCTGTTTAAATTAGGATTACCACCTGTCTATGTTTAACTTGGACAGTCTGGGAATTGGCATCTGTGTTCGGGTAGCAGGAATTGTTTTGTATCGAGATATGGTAGAACTGCGTTGCACCTCATCAGAATAGAATCGGATCAGAATATGTATTTATACTGGAGGGATCTGATGGCCTATTATAGTTTGCTGCACAGTTTTGATAGATGTAGGCTGACTGATAAAAATGTCTGTGTTTTGTTTGTGGAAATTGTGGCGAACCCCAGTTTAAATCATGTGGCTAGACTCGAAGACAAACCAAGAGGGAATTTCGTGTTGCGTATTAGGCGTTGGCAAGTGTGGGGCCGGTTGACCGAGACAGACATTGTGCTGTAGTGGGCACCCAGAGGTCAGTCAAGCTTGGAACATTCTTCAGAACAGATGGTGAGAGACAAGTGCAGTCCTATGAGTTACAGTCTGAAATGGGACCCCCTCCTTAGAATGTGTGGATTCCTAAACACTTGTGGAACCCCGAGTGATAGATACCCCTGGAACAAAAGAGTGTGCAAATGAGCATGGAGAGAAAATGAATACATGTATTCGAGAAAAAAAACATAGGTTAATGACATTCAAAACTGTTTAAAAGAAATGGACTTGGGTAGAAGACGTCACTAAAAAAAACCTATTTTTTATCTACCATCTAAGGTCGACTGAACTATATAGCTTTTTTTCAGAAGCGACCTGGCCATAAATGATAGCTCATCGAAGCGGCATATCGTGCCACACGACCGCGGGGAGAGAGACACGCACACTCCAAATATACAGGCGTCAGGGTCGGGATCGAACCCACGCTCGGCTTGCTCTTGGTCATCGGGATGATGGCCGATGATCAAGAGCAGTGACGGGTTGTCAGCCAGAGAATGGAATGTCCGAGAAATACATCCTTAAAAAGGAGATGGAGTGATGATGGAATTTGCGTGGATTATTGCACAAGCAGGATTGTGAGATATGATTACGGCTGTGGGAGGATATCATCCAGCAGTGGATTGATCATGGCTGATGTTAGAACAAGTGTGTGGGGAGGCGTGGCCTTGTTGCATGTAAAGAACATACTCAACACGTTCGTCGACTTCAATGCCTTGAAAGGAAACAATAGAAAAATGATGGACCACTTTGTTGAGTTATCATTTGTGGCCAGGTAGCTTCTGAAAAATAGGTTAATATCTCAGTGGGTTTTTCCTGGTAGGATGGGGATGACTTACTTGTATGTGTTTTGGTAATGTGTTTACTTTTATTGTACTTTGCATCATCGTATTTGTTTTACTGTTTGTTGGTGTAACGTTCTTACTCGCCCCTTCTGGGCATCCGTGAAAAAGAAAGAGCTTCATAGCTCATCGGATTCCTCCAGTACAAATAAATATCCTCGATATATAATATGCGACGTTTCAGGATGTGTTTATGTTTATGCCTTTAAATCCTCCCACTCACAACACGCGCCCCCAACATTACCATCCAAGCCCCCCACGTTAATTAATGAGACCCCTCGCCCACCGGTGAGTTAGCCCCGCCCACTGGCGAGCAAGCCCCTCCCACTGTCCAAATATACCCGCCCACTAGCGAGCAAGCCCCCGCCCTACAGACGAGCATTCCCCCGCCCCACTGGCGTTCTAGCCCCACCCACTGGCGCGCAATCTCCGTCCCACTTCCGAGCAAGCCCCTCCCACCAGCGAGCAATCCCCCGCCCACCCAGGCGCACGTCACGTCTATTTCCACACAAAGCCCCGCCCCCGCCATCGCGTCGTCCGCTCGTCGTCGCTTCCATTGCTCGGCCTTCGCGTTCAACTTTGGTACGGGCAGGTAGGGGCCTTGTTTCCGCAGCTTTGAGGCACATTTTCCTGGCGCGCAGTGTAATCTTTTTGTTTTTCCCCCGTGTGAGTAATTTACCCGAGTTGAGTTATCGCTTTAGCTCGACGGCGGCCGCGTTTGTGTGTGCTGTGTGTTGTGTGTGCGTGCGTTGGGTTTTAAATTTTTGCGTCGATGTTTGTGAATGGGGCTCGGCTCCTGCCTGGGGAGGTGCCCACCACTGGATACGGGGCCGCCATGTTTGTGGGCGCTGGTTTTTTTTTTTGTATTCACCCCTCGACTTGCGACTTTGTACATGTATTTATCTCCATTCCCCCTCTCTCCTCTCTCTCCTCAAGCCTTTTTTGAGATACGCGCAAGCAGTGCGATTTTTGTTTAGGATTCTCTCGTGACGATTAAAACGGCACGCGCGCTGTGGTTGAGCGGGCGGGCTGGGTTGGAGATGGAACAGCTCGCATGGTTTACACGACAAAAAAGTTTATCGGCTGGGTTTTGTGGTGATTCGGGACTGAGGCCCTCTGGGAGGCTTTTGTGGGGTTTTTTTATGTTATACGTACACTTAGACGATTGTGCTTCTTATACGCGTTTTTAAAATAAATAAATGGGAACGAGTATTTTGCTGCGTTTAAATGTGGGCTTTGAAGCTGATCTTGCAGGGCGGAAATGCCCATTGTTGGTCTCGTACTGTGTGTTGAGGTCGGGGCGACTGCCCCGGCTCGCCCATGGTCACGGAGCTTTAGTCACAGTGGGTGTAATAAAGTACTGTATACACATTTGGTTCCCCCTTATGGTGTTACCACTTGATTTTACCTAATCCAGGTGGGACGTCCTCTGTAAACGAATCTAGCAGTGTACTTGCCCTCGACGTAGCCGTCTTTGAGAGTTAATGTTAATGGATTGTGTACTGTGCACGCTATGGGGATGCTGCCGTGGTGAGTTTACATTTATGTAAAATGTATATGCACATGCCTTTTGTCAAACTCCTCGATGAGGGCCTCATGTCGTGGGAAAATGGGGGTTGATCGCAGGATCATACAAGTTGGGACATTACTACAATGGATGTTCTGCACTGCGATCTGGACAACGTAACCTTGTAGCATCCAAAATAATGTTTTTTTTATGCATGATGGTCACCGAATCAGTCCCCAACAATTGTCTGCGCTCTTAACCCAGCTTCCGAGCTCTTGCCGAGATTCTCGGGTCATTTCGCTGTTTGTTGTCCTTTTGAAACTATTTTTGGCAAGTTAGACCTGCACACTCATTCTTTAGCGTTTAACACGCCGCTTGACTTTGTCTAAAACCGTGGCCGTGGTGCATGTTTGTGAGTTCTTTCTTTATTAACTGGGACATCTCTGTCATCAGCCATGGGTGCACAGTTCTGCCATGTCGGTCATGAAGACGGCCACTTAACTTTGTGCCATAGGTACAGTTCTTTGGCGAGTTACCATGTGTGTCCTCTATTTAACCAGTGGAACATCCCAGTGATTATTATGGCAAGATACACCAAACAACCTTGTTTTGAGATTTTAGAAGCAAACCTGCTGTGATCTACCGCATTTAATGTAGTGCTTCTGTGTGGGTTAACATTTGCTATTGTTTAACCAGGTGAGACATCCATGTTATTCATCAACCCATGCATGTTAATAGTTCTGTTTTCTTTGTTGCTACATGGCATCGGTGTTCAGATCCGAGTTTGTCCTTTAACATGGGACAGTTGACGTGGTCTGGAAAGATTGACCCGTATTATTTTCGTGCTTGAGAGTTAATTGGACTACCTTGTCTTATCTCCAACAGGTGCGCAGTGCTTTGGTGTGAGTTTGGTGTTTTATATTTAACCAGGTGAGAACATCCCCTGCCTGTAATTTGTCTTGCACAGTTGACTTGCAAAAGCCCAGCCATTGTTTTAAAGTTTAGAAGTCTGCTTCCTCTTGTCTGTGCCATCTGACCAGTGCTTTTATACGGGTTCACATTTGTTATCCTTAAAATACCTATCTTTTGAATGTTTTTGAAAGGTAGACCTGAACCATCTGTGTTTGAGTGTGGTGTTTTTTTTATCACACGCATCACAACTAGAGGTCAGGAGCTTTCAATTTTGGCAAATGGCCGTGAAGCTGATTGTAATCACGCCATCGAAACGTCTACTCCAATCGTAAATCTTGTGGGTTTAATCTCCAACACACCGGTGTGCTGTAGTCACTAATTGGCACTTTTTCACGCGACAACCCTTACTAATTGGTGGTGGGTTGACACATTTGTATTTATGCAATCTAACCCAAAAACCGTTGTTATGAATAATATTGGTAGTCAAAGCCTTCGTGTTAAATTGATTTGTATTTCTATGCATGAATGAATAAAATAGTTGCAGATGAGCCTTCATCAAATAAGCGTCTACCTGCAAACTAAACTAAAAAGCAGGGATTAATGTTAATAATTTTCCAGTAATTTTTAGATTTGGTATTGTAGCCTTTGACTTGTGCACACGGGTCTACTATCCTAAGTTATGCTGCAGGGTCTTTAACAGCCATCATACATGACAGCTGCAGGAACCAAAATGTGGGTGATAAGCGCGCAGACCGCATTCTATTAATCCAACTTTTAAATGTTTGTTTAATTTAATCTGGTCGAGTTTCGGTTGCAAGTAAATGGGATACTTTTTTTCTGTATGGCCTTGTGAAATGATTGTTTTTCTTTACGCTAAGGCTTATGTTTGTATAGAGGTTTATTTAGGAGTTTGTTGTAGCAATAAAAGGTAGAAGTAAAAAGTAGGGATGCGTTCTTATAAAAGTGTATGCTTAAGATAATTAAGAATTGGTGCCTAGATTACTTCGGAGTATCATGTAAAAAAACACACAAAATGCTAACTAGCAATGTATATCACTTTATTTTGGCAATGTATTAATTATTATATCATCAGTTTGATATTTTCTTGTAAAAATTACAGTTTTAGAACGAATATATATAAACAACGTTGCAGGCCGCATGGCTATCCAATTACATCAGTAAAAAGCATGCATTGATTATGGTGAGGTTGAGCGGCTGTGTAGGGATTAACACATTGCTTTGTGAACCCGGAGGTCTGCGTTATTGCCGACCACTGGTAACGAGTGATAACCAAATCAGTCCTGGTCCCCTCCCCCCTTTACAAACCCTCATTGATAAGCATGGCGAAGTGTTCAACAACCCCCTTGACCAGCATCCAGCAGTGGATTGAAAGTGCTGTAAATACATTTGATCAATTTCATATTATTAAAATAATTAAAATATGTTTAATGTTTCCCTTGAGCATGGTCCGATGAAAATATATACAAATTGTGTAAATGTTCTGTGGGAAATACTTGATTTTACATTTTGTAAGAATGTGTAGGTGACTTGTTAGTGGTTATAAATATTGAAACATGCGAATGAAAAATACATGGGTCAACTTGGGTGACAAACATTTCGTTTGCATGGAATAAATAAATACAAGTAGGACATGTATTTGAGATTTTGATTGCACTGTCCTCTGTTTTTTTATAGTTTTTAGACTTGAACGAAAGTGTTTCGTCCAAAATATTTTTGCTGTTTTCCAGGAGACCAAAATGTCCTCCATCACGTCTCCAAACATCCAGTTCAAATGGGATCCGAAAACCCTCGAAATTCGCACCCTCTCGGTGGAAAAGACCTTGGAACCATTAGTGCAGCAGGTGAAGCTTGTTTGTTATTGCACACACAATACCATCAATGATAACCAATTGATAATTAGATTGACTTATTGTTTAACTCCAGTAATTACCCAGGTCACAAATAAGGGACAGAGCAAAGGTGGCATTTGTAATGGCACTTTTCCATATTCCAACAAGTATAAAACAATAACATTCTCACAACGTTTCGACCGCAACACAAGTAATCATCATCAGGTGTGAAAACCACAGCAAGAAAATGTTCTTGCTGTCGAAACGTCGTGAGAATTTTATTTTTTATATTTTTATTATTTTATTGTTTCCCTTCTACGTGACTTTACCGAAAGAACCAAGAATATGAATCCCTGCAGTCACGAAAGCTTTAAATCAAAGACTTTTCCATTCAAGATGACGGTAACACCTCTTTGTCGTATCCTGTGCCATTAACATGAGCACTATCCAGATTGAAGTGAAATATCACCATGTAGCACTGATGCCTACTGGAAAGTGGAGGAAATTATATAAGTCATTTAGTTTACAAATCCATTCAAGTGTTGACAGTTTGTTTTGATTATTGTTCTAGTTATATTTTTTCATGAAAAAATAGATCAACGCTGCATACGTTTGTGCAATCTTAATTTAGTAAATTCACTGTCTAGTCAACGTATACATTATTAAGCTAAAAATATCGTGTCTAAGTGTAAAGTGCTGTCACATCCACGATATGGAAATAGCTGCAGTATGTTTCCTATCGCTTACATATGATAAAGCCACTGAAAAATCTAGTCATGTCTGCAGGTTACGGTGATGTCATATGGACCTCGTGACACTGATAACGTAATGGACTGCACAATGTTCAGTGCAGCCTTCGACAGTGTTATGTTTCAATTTGTATTATTTTCTATTTAGCACTTGCATGCCCCCGATTAAATGTATGATTTTAACATTCTTTAGGTGACTACTTTGGTGAATATCAACAGCAAGGGACCATCCAACAAGAAAAAAGGGCGCTCCAAGAAGGCCCATGTGCTCAGTGCTTCAGTGGAAAAGGCCACACAAAACTTTATTGACAAGGGAGACCAGATTGCCCGTGAAAGTGAATATCTCAAGGATGAACTTATGGATGCAGTTGATCAAGTCCGCACCCAGGGTAAGCCTGTAGTTATAATTCTTGTGACTCTTTAATGAACGATTTTGTGATAATTTATATACCTATGGTACAATGTCAATGGTGTTTCTTTGCAATCATTAAACATTTAAAATTGATGTAAACAAAATGTGAACTTGAGTTGTGGTATTAATGTAATATTTCGGTTTTCTAATGGGAAAGTTTATTTTTTCTGGAAGCTTAGCTTCCTTCACCTGTGAAATGGACTCCTCTAAACATGAGTAGCAAAAATGTTCATTGCCAAGTGTAAATTATTCACGTTACAAGCACTTATTGTTTTGCTCAGGATTGACAATTGCAAGCAAAAAAAATACATTACTAGATGGAAATTATTATTGGAAATAATTTGAAGTCAGTTTTATGTTGCTGAAAACCGCTAACTACTTGGTAAATAAATTAATGCACAATTATTGCATTTGCCAAAATGCTTGAATTGGAAAAAAGGACCACCATTCTTGAATACGTTTTTTTGGCGCTTGCATCTGCTATGCTCAGGCGAGACCATGCGTTCGGCAGCCGGGGAGTTTGCTGATGACCCGTGCTCGTCAATGAAGCGTGGGGCGATGGTGCGGGCCGCTCGTGCCCTGCTCACGGCTGTGACTCGCCTGCTCATCCTCGCTGACATGGCCGACGTTATGAAGCTCCTGCGACACCTGCGCATCGTGCGTTCTTTGTACTCTTGTTGTGAACTTTCTGCCCTTGGTGAATTGGTAATGCATGTACACATTTATTTTCTCAAGTATAAAACATTTATGGGTATGAATTCAGAGAATGCGTGTATTTTAGTTTTACAAGAGGAGTGTTTCTTTTAGAAAATGCTTTTTGCTTTGATAGAGCTGAGATGGCTTCCCACCTTTTCACAAAAGCTCTATACAACCCTTAAACCTAACTTAATAAATACATGACTTATCAATATAATTGTCAAGAGTTTTTTGACAATTTGGAAATGAATTTCAGTTAAGCAAATGCTCATCGTGATATGCGTACATTTGTTAAACCATTCCTATTTTGATGTAAGTTTGCACATTTGCATGCATATGTGCATTTGTATATTTGTACAGTGGAATCCCCTTATGAAATACATGCTCTGTAATTTGGCTGGTCCGCCAGCTTTTTTCTAATTATGAGAGTGACGTATTGCTTGTCTGCTGTTTGTCCCTGAGCTAGCGGTCTAAATTCCATTCCTATGCGGAAGGCTCGTCGCCTTGCCGTTGACGGGATTCAAATTGCTCTGAAAGAGGTGCGAGTTGGATATTAATCTGCGGCCTTTGCACCTGGTACACTGTTGTGCAGTAATGCATGAACATTTGCTGTTGGCTGTAATGATCAGTAATTTTAAAGTGTTCTTCCTGCTGTATGTATTAGGTTGAAGAAACCCTGGAGAAAGTGCGCATGGCTGGAAGTCAACAGGAGCTTGCCAACACTTTTAAGAAATTTGGCCAGGAGATGGTGACTCTAAACCATCTGGCAGCCAGACGACAGCAGGTACGTAGGTGGTCTTGTTATCTTGTAAGAAATATTGTGTTTATGCCCTAGAGTGTATTTAACATATGAAACTGCATATGAAGAATAGCTTGCAAATGAAACCTCTAACTAAGAAATTGTATGAAAACACTCTTTTGGTAAATTTAAATACTATATATTTTTAAGTAACACTTTACCACAAACCAGTGTGGTGCAGTGCTCAGGGTCTTGTTTACAGAGCTGACCCAGTGTTTGCAATTCCATATCCTTGTGGCTGGGGCAAGCTTAATCTATTGGAAAGCCCACCATTATTGACTTCCCAAAGTGAAACACGTTTTGTCAATCCAACAGGAATTATAAAAGGCTTATTTGACCCCTATCAAAGATTTAAACTCGCAACCTTTAACTTGCAAGCCATATGCTCTATCTGTTGTGCACACTGGCCATATATGCATTATACATATAATGAATGTTAATGGAATATGTACAATGTACTTTGGAGGTAATGCCATGTAATGGTGTTAATGCTTGTATCATTGGGAAACCAGTCCTATAGATTGGTGGAGGGGGGGTGACTTTCGCAAAACCTGACTCGTCAGACATTCATCACAGACTCAATGCTTGCCAGTCAACTCGTCTAAACATCATCATAGCTCATCAATTTATACAAGTGCAGTGGGAAGCCCATTGAGATTTAACAGCGCCCTTCTGCTCTCACACCTCTGCCCAATGGCGCAAGCCTACCCATTTTATGATTTTAAACAAGATAGTATTGCTTGTTTCAGGCTGCGGGCCATCATTTCACATGGTTGAGTTGATAAGCAGCAATGGTTCTGATGAGCCAAATTGAGTCAAAAGGTTATTTAGTAGTACTACCTCATTCTCAAACTACATAACACGAACTTTCAATTTATACCTCATTCATTGAAATTGTTAAAATAGTCGGAGGAGTTCCTTGGAAAAATATTCATATAGGTTAGCTACTTGTTATAAAGTCACCATCAAAATATATGAGAATGCAGCTGTGGTATCACAGTTAGGACATTAGAATTGCAATCCAGAGATATTCTGATGTGAAATAGTTGAAACAATGGGAAAGTTCCTTACATCTCTGGCCACCTAGCTGGATAATTAGTACACGTGTAGATTGGCAAGTTGTCTATGCTGGGATTAAAGTCTGGTTATTCCCACCAAGACATCTGGCCAGCATTGAGGAGTCGGTCAAATAACGACTCCTCAATGCTAGTTGACAAAGAGCTGGTGGGATAAGGTATGGGGGTGGTGGATGTGTGTAAGTGGGGGGGGGGAAATGAAAATGGGTGGCAACCTAGGCCAAAGGGTTTTATGTATATACTAGCGGAAAATACCGGGGGGAAAAATATATTTCACAACTTCTCTTAAAAACATAACATACACGAATACAAAGCTATTGTTGAAGCCCGGTGTGCCATTTGTCCAACAAAATTATAAGAGGCTTGTAGCCCAAAAAGTTCTAGAAAGTGGGGGGTAAATAGTTGACCTAAAAGGTTTCCGAAAATTGTCGACCCCCCCTCAAATATTTTTACCTCCGTAGTCATACCTACACACCCTACATACAATAGAGTAGTATCTAGTGACTATAGTAGTATCTGACTCTACAGTAGTATCTACTGACTCTGTAGTCAATAATACTGACTGCAGCAGTATAGAATGACTGTAGTGGAATCTACTGACTATAGTAGTATCTACCGTATAGTAGTATCTACTGACTATAGTAGTATCTACCGACTCTACGGTAGTATCTACTGACTATAGTATCTACCAACTCTACGGTAGTATCTACCGACTATAGCAGTAACTACTGACTTTGCAGTAGAATCGAATGACTATAGTACCTACTGACTGTATTGTGGTATCTATTGACGCAATAGTAGTGTCTACTGACTATAGTAGTAACTACGAACTCCATAGTAGTATCTCCTGACTATTGTAGTATCTGCAGACTCTATAGCAGTATCTGCTGACTATAACAGTATCTATTGACTATAGTATATACCGACTCTGCAGTAGTATATACCGACTCTGCAGCAGTATATACTGACTGCAGAGGTATCTACTGACTGCAGTAGTAGCTACGGACTAGTATCTACTGACTCTATAATAGTATCCGCTGACTATAGTCGTAACTACTGATGATAGTATCCACAGACAAAACACACGATGACGGAGACCACTGCAACTACCACCACTGCATAGTGGTGATGTCATAGAATGTTGTGAGTTCATAGCAAGCAGCAGCACCTATGAAGTATGGACACAAAGACACCAACACAGACACCACACACACAGACGTGGTGAGGCCTAGTCCCGTGCTGAGCCCCCGGCCTCGCCTAGATTGCCCAGCCGGTCGAGGTGGCACCTTGGCAGGCTGAGGCTGGGCCGCTACCCCCCCCCCCCACCATCCCCCCCGCCCGCTCTACAGTAGTTATCTATGGACTATAGTAGTAGCATCTAGCGACTCTATAGTAGTAATTGCACACATTGGGGTGGGGGTGGGGAGAGGACATGACACTGAATAATTTACCTCAGCGTTGTGTATTTTTTAGCATTTTTTAAGCGAATGACAATTCCCCCCTCCCCCCAGTGATGGCGTGTGCGTTGCTAGGGGCAATCCCCGGTCAGCTGTCTCGCGCATGCGCAGATGTGTGCTTTGGCGCGCTCAGCGTATTAATATAATAATAAATAGTACTACATTGTTAATTGAACTGCTTTAATGTTGACGGATGTGAAATCGGAATAGCGCTGGCTCACCACGGGGCTTATCGCATGGTACCTGGAACTTTTTTTTAACGTCAACGCCACAGTTGGCGAGTCAAATCCTTAAAGTTTCGTCCACAGACACACGGACAAAAAATGACTTATCGGTAAGATTTAAATAGAGATCCAAATCTTATTTAAGTTGTAATGCGAGTGCTTGTGAATTTAGAAGTATAAATGGCAATCCGTAATTTCTACCATGTAATCAAGTGGAATGAGCAGTGGAAGCATACATGTACACACAATACATGCCATTAAATATTTTGATGATAAGTGGTTCTCAAAGTTAATCAAATTAAAGGAGGTGCATTTTGAAAAGTGGACCAGTGTTATTTTAGGCATTTCAAATTTACCCTCCCTCCCCCACAAGTGCCAAAATGTGTTTAATGTTTGCACATTATTAGAAATAATAGTGGAGCAAGAAGTCTGATGAATTGTATAAAGCAGTGTTCAGGTTAACATACTACAAAACAGGTACCAAAAGGGAATGTTTATCATGATTAAATAACGCAACTTATTCGTGGTCAAATTAGTTGTACGTGTTTTATTTCCCGTTTGTCTGTTTCAGGCTGAAATAGACATACACTGGGCATAGGATACGTACTATTTTGATTTATAAATGTTTGGCAGATTAGAAGAGGCATTATTTACCATTAATGGCCTTGACTTTGTATGATTTCATGTTCCATATAGTTAGTACATTACGTGGGACTGCTACAACTAAAACAGAACCGGTTTGAATTAAAGCCCTACATTGCACATTTTTCTTTTGAAACTTTACTTGAAGAAGAATAATCACTCGGTAGTATTTACGATTGGATATTTTTTCCATTCCTTTTATAGTAGTGACACGCAAACAAGGACTGCTTAATTTAGCACTTTCTTGTATTTCAGTGCTGCCTTTGTCAAGCAGCATAATGCTTCTAGGCTTGTAGCTTGCTCAGCAAAGGATAATGACTGCATTCATTGAGTTGACTTGTGCATTGACTTTGTACAGTGGTAAAGTTGGGCCTTTTTATCTTTGCCTGTTTAATGGGAATAGATTTTGAAGTGATTTAAGCACTTATAAAAAACCAATGCGTGGTTGTGCAGGACCTCAAGGACCCACGCCTGCGTGATGAGATGGCAGCAGCACGCGGAAGCCTGAAGAAGAATGCTACCATGCTGTACACGGCTTCACAGGCCTTCCTCAACCACCCAGATGTGGCGGCCACCAAGGCCAACAGAGACTACGTCTACAAACAGGTCCAGGAGGCCATTGCCAGCATCTCCAATGCTGCTCAGGCAACTTCCGTGCCCAGCCGCACGCAGGCCGCAGACAATGTGGGCGAGCTGGCTGCTGCCCTAAATGACTTTGATGTAAGTCAGTTGTGTGCTTGTTTTGGTTTCTCATTGAGGTATAGCATTTTGTACATAACATCTCGGAAGAGAGTACGTAATATTTTAAAATAAGTATCAGTAATTTTACATGATGCAGAGTGTACTTGGTTTTTTTATGCAACAAATTAAGTTTTAATACTTGCGTGTGATGTTACATTGATAATTGTGTGTGCTGCATTCAAAATACAAAACAGTATTTGCGTTCATATCTGAAATTACATAAAAGGAGTGAACCTGCTATTAATTGGAATTGTATTACCAATTATATATTGCAGTTATAGTTGTCCATATTAATCTGTAGCTAGGTATGGTTATAACTTTAAAATTAACATTAAAGCTCTTTTACTTGTTATAAAATTGCAAGTGACTGACGGTGGCCTTATTCTACTTTGCTGGCTTGAGCATCACTTAGAAAACGTCCCTAAAAAAAGTTAATCTAAATGTAATTTGTATTCGGCACCCTGGATAACCCACAGATATAATTTTTCATCACAGCATTGAAATAGAAAAAAAATATCCCTTTGCAGTACCCAAAATGAACAATTATGCTTTTCGGATGATTGCGAATGAAGAAATATTTAGTCGATTTGGTTTAAAAAAGTTCACTGGACCCAACCTTCCATTTGCTATTTGAAATCATTATTTTGGATTTAAAAGTAGAGGTTTGACTTTTACCCATGTTTGAGCTCGCTATCTGTATAAACAACATTACCAGAATTAAAACTGCGGCCGACGTCAAAAATTGACATCTCATACAGGACCCCACCTTCGACCCCTCCCTGTTTCAACCTTTCATCGTTTCAACCTTCCACGTCGCCAATGGTCGACCATCGACAGAATTGGGACCTAGCATGGCCGATGCAGGCCACCTGATGCACAAATGGCGCATCAAAGATTCGGCGGCCTGCAAGTGCGGCCCCCAATCCTAAACGATCGACCACATAAACAGCGGATGTCTTCATTCCTTTTAAAGGAGGAACGCACGAGATCCCCTCTGCGTCTGAACAGACAATTGAGTGGATAACAAATCTAAAATTGCATCTTTAATCTGCTGCTATGAATCCATTCGAAAGAAGACCAGAAATAATGTCGCTCTGGTGCGAAAGATCGGCGAATATATAAAATTAGGAAAAGCTACTCGGTGATACCCACTGTGTGGCACTGTTTTCACAAATGATGCATTAAGTTGTACTGATAAAAATAATGGACTGTGCTGCCACCTGCTGTTATTGACGAACGTGTTAGTTTGAAAATTAATGTACAAGCATCCTTGGTGTGCACGGACATAAAAATATGGCAAACATCACAGGATAGCTGCCCGAGACATTTTAGTTTGTTCATAAAATGTTATTTGCCTTCCAATGAATTTATCATACGTAAAGTATTATTTTTTTAACGAAAGCAGTAATACTATAATTTTGGCATAAACGAGAATTGATATGAGTGAAATTAGCTGTAGGAATGTAATTGTATAAGTCTTAGTTTTACAATGATAAACTTAATATTCTCAGTTAATATCGGTCATATGTTGCATTTATTTATTGGTACCGTTTAAGATGTGTTCTGGGTATTGATGATAGTTTGTACAAATGTATTTATTTTGCAAGGGGTTACTGACATTAGCAGGGGGAAGGGTAGTAGTATACAGTTGTATATCTATAATGCAACTCCCTGGCCAGATTTTATTTATGTATTGTCAAAAATATTACAAAGGACACTGGTGTATTTTTGTATAATCTACTCTTAGATTGAAAATATAAATTAATTGCAATCCAAGTGTGATCTTTCAGGTTTAGCCGGAAGGACACTCTTGGATTATGACTGACTGCGAAAACCTACGTACAAAGGACATTTTTGGTGTTTTCAGATGCTTAGCCGAGCATAGAACTGAAAAATACGGTGCATTCTCATAATACCCCAGGTTGACATGACGAATGCTTGGCTTGCACTTGTCTGATACATTCATAAACAACGTATTGATTTCATCTGATGTTATTTAAGCAAACTTGGAGACCTGTTCAGATTAAGATCGCTTGGCTTCGTAAACGTAGTTATATATTGGCAAAATTAAGTACTTGTTTATCTGGTGAGCTCGTTCCCAATCGGCTTCATCAGAAAATAAATGTGTACCTTGCAGACCAAGATTGTGCTGGATCCCAATACCTACAATGAGGCCCGTATGCGTCCATCGTTGGAGGAGCGTCTGGAGAGCATCATCAGTGGAGCAGCTCTGATGGCAGACTCCTCCTGCACCCGTGATGATCGACGCGAAAGAATTGTGGCCGAGTGCAACTCTGTGCGTCAGGCCCTGCAGGACCTTCTGACCGAGTACATGAACAATGTAAGTATGCCAAACTTCAAAAATGCACCATGGAATTCTGATAAACCTGGTCTTTCATGGTTAATAGTATGCTTGGAAAATATAATGTTGGTGTAATGGAAGCTCGCTTCCTATTTTAAAGGTTTTTTCCATGAACAGTTTTCTCTTGGGCATTGAAATGGTTTGTCTCTTACCAAACAAAGCAGGAGTCTTCAACTTATCCAATATTTAAAAAAAATGTCAAAGGTTATCAAGTTTAAGCATTGAGAATAATGCCCTTTAGCCCCTTTGTAGTTTAGTGAAATACCATAACCTGCTTATTGGCGTGTAATGTTTAAGGATCTAAAACATTTGTAAGTACATTGTACTTTTTACTGCAAAAATGTGTATCTTTAAATTTAAAGTTAATGTGATTTGGCTTACAGCTGCACTGCTTTAAAGTTAATTGCAATATGGTTCAGTAAATGTGCTGAAGACACTAGTTTTTGAAAGTGCAAGTTTCTTATGACCCTTATTTATTGCAAAAATTGCACTGCCGACTTAAAAATGGTGAAGCCGTGAAAGATTTAATCTGATGGAAAGGCCACGTGCCCGTAGCCGCATTGGTATACTAAAATGAATTATGAACTGAGTAGGGAAGGCTTCTGGCTGAAAATGCAAGCACCTTGCAGCGCTTAAAAGCCATTACCATAAAATCCCTTGCAGAGGCTCATATGGTCACTTCCGACAGCTCTCAATAAATGGCGAGATGGCGATCGAGATGGGCGAGTGGATTTTTTCATTATGTGATTGTGTTCCTTGATATGGGCCCAGCGTTATTACTTTCCTGCACAGTAGGCTGTTCCCATGTGGATTTTTTGATTGTGACCTGCATAAATGAGGCTTCTCATTTATGTTTTTTTTACCTCCCCCTAGCCTTTTATTCGTGGTGGTTAACAGAAGTACAAAGATACACGTTGAAATTAGTTGTTAAATATACATTATTTTTCTTGTAGTAATGAATCTTCATATTTTATAAAGCATATGCTAATTATATACCGGTTTTAATAATTTTAATTTGCTTTACTGGGCTGAACATCTAAATTCAATGGTGTTGTGTGGTTGTAGGTTTGACAGTAATTTGACATGTCAATGTGAATCTGCTTAATGGTTGAAGTTATAAAATGTCATTTTGCATTGCTTCCATTAACAATGGAGCATTTGACCAAATGTATTGTGTTCCTATTGTCACAAAATCATTAACTACTTAGGTGACATGAATCATGTAAACATGTCTATTTTTGCATTTAACTATTTTAAAATATATTTTGAATCAATTTTGTTTGGCAGACACTAAACCTATTACATGTAGCTTTAAAAATGCAAAGTGTTTTAATTCGAATATTTTTTTTTATCATTTTACATCATATACATTAACATAGACAATTCATGCCTCCATTGTTTAATATTTAACAAGTGATAAATAAATAAGAATTCAAACTTATTCCCTGATCAAATCTAATAAGTGTTTCAAATAAAGCACTAGGTTAGGCTTTTGAGCCTTTTAAATTAAATGTATGGTGACAGTTTGATTGCAAACTGCTGTGTAGCAATCAAAATGAATTGAAAATTTAACCCCCACTGAAGAGGAACAGATGAACTGCTTGTCTATCGTATTGGTAATTTAAGCTGTCTTCATATTGCCTTTTAACATTCTATTAAGTGCAGTGCAGTTCTGCATATTTTAGTGCTGATCTTTAATGGAGTTTAGTGGCATTGCAAGTCCTGTTAGTATTCTTTATGGAGTGCTCTTGTAAGCTTGGGTGTCATTACGAAGGTGATGTCCATAGCGGTACTTTTGATATTTTGATGCTTTGGAAGGTAATTTTCACGCTTCTGTCGAAACAACAATTAGTGACGTAATGTGTCTCTGGGAAAGGAAAACAATGGATTTTAGCTTGGGGACAATTTCTTGTTAAATTGTCTGTCTAATTCATGGTCGGTGATCAAAGTATGCACTGCACTGAATTTAGCAACTGAAGTTGGATTTCCAGCCATGGTAAAAACTTGTGGTAAGCGATAGGTGAACCGGTCCCAATCACCAATCTGCACTGACCAGCATGGTGAAGAATGGTCAAACAACTCCCTCGATCAAGTGTGGGAATGCTTTCTCTTACATAACAAAGTGCTGTACATATAAAAAAAACAGTACCGTTGGCGAAGAACTAGAATGTATCTGATACTTTTATCTTCAGCTTTTCAGATACCTAATAATAGCATTCTTTTGAATTCTCATACAATTATATTTGTTGAATGTCTTAAATAAATAAAAAGTCCGACACTTTTTTTTCCCAGATACAAAGGAATTTCATTGGTGTGCATTATAATGAGCTCTGAACTTGTTTCTCGGGTAATTTTAATACCAAAATCATCCAAATATTTTATTTTTCTCGCTTATCACGATTTGGTGTTTGGGGAGAGCTACATAATTATTTGCTTTGAGCGAAAAGGCATTACACGGTGTGATTAACATTGCATTTAGAAGTGGCATCTTGGGTGCTGTGCATGCTCACCTGACTTGGCTTGGAGATTAGGTCATAAGTTAACATTAATAGGCATGAAAATAACCAACTTTTTAAAAACCCAACAATTATAGTGAATGCCATTAATTATTAACCTCCCCCGTGTTTTTCAAACTACCATAAAATGAAAAAAATGTTTGCTTGTATTTTGCTCTCATCACAATTATTTCTCAACACATGTTAATTTGTCATTCTTGATCAACAATTAAGGTTTGTATATTGCTGTAAACCGTTAATTTAATTTAATTAGACTCTGGTTCAGAGCCAGCATTGGGTACAATTTTCACAGCACTGTACTGAAATGACCAGGTGCATGGAATTATTGGTTGACTTCAATGTGCATTGGCTGTTAGGCAAGTAATTGCCAACTTTACAGAAGCAAAGTATTTCTCATGTCTTGGTGTAATCAGCTTTCGAGCACTGCCTGTATTCGGGCACGATGATAAATCCATGGAAAGGAAATTTCACGCTTGAGATGACAACGGTCACACTCAGCTGCAAACGAGGCTGTTTGCCAGGTTATACAGTGATAAATAAGGTACAGAATCCACCAAAGGTTTTGCATGGTACTCTGTAAATTTGAAGATTGATGGTGGCTTGATCAGTGTTCATTTTCAAGTCTCGTGCTCCTTAAAAGCATTCCACATTTGTAGTATTAAAATATATATTACTAGCTTGTTTTCCCGTCCTAGGATGGAAGCTGTAATATTTATGAAAAAATTGAGCAGAGTATAATTGTATCTTGTGTAAATTTTATGCCAGTGAATTTTGCACAAAACTATGTTATAAAACACCTCACTTCATGTCACTGTAGCACTCTATATAGCTGACCTTCAATTTCTTTAAATTCCCTGCTCTGATACTTTTTTCTCTTCTGCTTTCGGTCGCTGGGGTTGAAATAAATTGGAATTCAATACACTACCTGGAAAATAACCGAGAAATGTCTATTTTACCATAATGTAGAAGCATAAATTAGACTTACCTTTTGCCTCAAGTGCTGAAGAAATAAATAAAGACACCAAATCCACTTTGTTGCTGCGTATAATTATTTATTAGATTAGCTTTCAATAAATAAACGTCAAACTTAAAGCGAATTTGCGAAAAAAAATAGATTTCCACTCGACCTTCTGCGCGAATGTAAAAATCCACCGCTCATTAATATTAATGATGGGGGGATGCGGCATGTAGAGTGACGTCACGTTCGTTACACACAAACATACATTCTTGGCTCAACGTAGTAATTTGCTCTGCCAGTGAGTAGATTAGAAACAGAAGACCGACCTTCACAATAAGTGGTGTAGTTTGCCTTTTTTCCACCTTCAACATTGTTCCTTTTTGATTATCCTTAACGTATTTGTTTTGGTTGGTTTAAAAACTATTTAAATTGTGAAACTTCCCTGTTTACTGGGAAAGAGACGAATTGCTTAAATACCATTTATGTTTGTAATACCTTGTCACCCTGTAGATCTTTTACCAAACGTTGGCACCAAGAGCAAATTTTGTTTACATTGTATGGAGTAAATTAATGCATAACACCATTTATGGTCATGAAATCAACCAGTGCTCTGCATATGTTGTGTTAAACTGGAAGGTGCAACAGACAGAAATGGATTATTAGCATTCAGTGGCTAATTTTTAGCAAGCTAATTAAACTGGCCAGAAAAATGCATCCCAGCATTGTTCCAAAATAACACAGATCCTTAAATATGTTAACCTTTAAGTTTAACTTGGGTTCATTTTTATTTTTTGGATCAAGTCTAGTTGGTATAATGGAGTGGATTTTTAGCACGTGGTATGCAACTTTATTAACCTAGATTTCTTTTTTAGCATTGGTGATACACTAATGTGAAGTACAGTGTATAATTGTAATCATTATAGGATAGTCTCTTGATTTGGAAAAGCACATGTTTTGATTTGGTAATGTCATAAAAGTTTAGTCCCATCTGCATTTCTACTTGGCGATTTGATAATTACACAATCTCCGTATGCATGATCGATAGTGAGAAATAAGTTAGGCTGATTGAAATGCCATTGCTGGCCTCCTTGCAAAATTGCTTCAGTGTCTATATTCCACTTGCACCAGGATTTATAGTGCACAAGTTAGAATGTTAGCAGAATGCATGTAATTAAAATGCAAATAATTTTAGCCCAACCTTTATGTTCATGCTTTTAGCAAGCAAAACTCTATTTCAGAGGGCATATCGACACTTTCTGTGACAAAGATGTATTCAAATTAATGTGTATAGTTTAGTTTAGTTTTAGCTCTGGTTATTGCTAATTATCAAAATTAATCTTCTTTGGTTCTTTCGGTAAAGTCGCGTACAATGAGAATAAAATAATAAATTGATATCAATTTATTATTTTATTCTCATTCTACGTGACTTTACCGAAAGAACCAAAGAAGATGAATCCTTGCAGTCACGAAAGCTTTAAATCGAAATAAAAATTAATAATTGTTGAGTGTGCATGCTCAAAGGTTGTATGCTTGTATGAACATGTGGTGACATGCATATACGTTATTTATTTAATGTGATATTGCTGATAATACATATCTAGAATTTTTGTGCATGGCGTTCAAAATGGAATAGAATAAGAGTTGACATTTCAAAGTAATGCATGACAATGTGCTGATATGGAAACATTCATAATACCCTGCCTCTAGAATGTGCGTATGAGTGTTAAAGCTACATATATTTATGAAGGGAATTCGTTTTTTGGGCATGTTAATGATCACATCACAAAGGATATAATTTTGCCAGTTAAGGCGTCTTACATCTCTAACGGGCATAGGGAATGGCCTTCAAAATATATATTTTTTTATTTAAAATGTTCTTGGTATCTAGAAGAGTTATCTCCCAGCCATACTATGAATAAATCAATGTCTTACACTTCGTTTTCAATGGATTTACAGAGGCGTGTTAAAATAGTTCCAATATTTTTTTGTTGGGATGCTGCCATGGTGTAGTAGTGAGCACACTGGACTTGCAACCCAGAGGTTTCCAGCTCAAAATGCTTTCTTTGCGCCTGTTGTCCTCCCTGTAGTATACATGGGTAAACTGCCATTAGATCATCAGGTCTCGTTTGGTGGGGTAAAGTGTGGGGTGCTCCCATAGCCTCTAGCCAGCATGGAAGAGGAGGCCAAAATAACCTCCAGAGGTGGTGTCGAGAGCTTCCTTGAGTAGAAGCGCTTCAACCACAAGTCGCACAAGAAAGCTATTACAGGACTCCACCTTTACTATGATAATATTTTAACAAACATTTGAGGTCGTGACTTTAGTGGGGAAATATAAATTGGCTTTGGCTTCAATATCGCTCTTATATCACTGTCTCCAGATTATATTCCGTTGCTGTCATCTGAATTGTGTAAATCTACACTTTAAAAAAACTGCAAAAGCAACAAGTAGGGAATTGACATGACTGTAATATTTTTTTCAGGCTGGTCGCAAAGAGCCCACTGATGTACTCAATGTGGCAATCGACAGAATGTGTCAGAAGACACGAGACCTTCGCAGACAGGTGAGAACTTTACCCTTCGGGCAATACTGTGAGGCAGTGTTTAAGCTTGCAATACAGTTCCCTTGTTCTCTTTCTTGTGAAATATACATTGTTGTTTGGATATGTACAATTTTCTTTCCTGCATTGCAACTATATATGCAGATTTACATCTGGATAAGCCTCATTAAATATGTGCAGCCGGCACTACAATGTGACTGAAAAATTGAGTTATTTTCCTCCCATTGTTGTATTTAAAACTGCATATTTTGTGCAACAATTAACTTGGAAATTAATGTTCTTTGAATTTGCATTATATAGCTAGTTATGTTAAGATGCTGTCGGTATTAATGCGCACAAGGCAGTTTACTGTCTTGTTAGGAGATTATTACATGTACGATAAATAAACTGTAGCAAGTAACATTTTCTTCGAAATGTTGCTTTTACCAAGGTGTGCTAAGCGAAGCATATCTATTTTAACACATTGAAGTCTGCTTGATGGATGCCCAAGTTCATTTTTAATGCACTTTACATATATACACACACGTCCACATTTCAGAATGCTCCCTGTAAAAGAATACACGGTTATCTTCCAGTGACTGCTCGCTATTTAGAACAGCTTTACATTGTGAGTAGTGTATTAAGTATTAATATGGTACACATGAATTTGATTTGGTTTTCAGTGGATTTTAATGGTATTGTGGTTTTAATTGTGTTTTTGTCATGCAAAACATTCTTATTCCTGAGCAGGCTGTGCCAGCTCTTATAAATCTCCCTTTGTATATGTTTGCTTAAATTAATATTTAATTATACATTTCCTTGGTTGCTTCGTGGGTTGTCGAGTTGAAAATATTTTTCCTAGATTCAGCGGCTGAAAGCACAGATTTAATAATTACGAAGATTTGACCATTGTCAGAATTTATCGAGGATGTTAGTGGAGCTCACTGCTTGTGCAATTCAAATGTTGTTCAGGTTCTGGGAGCATTGTAGGGTGGCCATTGTCTTAGTAAAAATACGTTTGCACATGTAAATAAAATGTTGACTTCATTTTGTATTTTTAGTATATTTTATTTTTTGGTAATTGCAATATTTTGTACATGTAAAATTGTCATGAAGGGAAGAAAATAACGTTCAAAGCTTCAAAGTGTTGCATTAACATTTCTTTGGCTCGTGTGTGTGTTTTTTTAGCTGCGTAAAGCTGTGATGGACCACATTTCTGATTCCTTCCTGGAGACCACAGTGCCCCTTCTTGTGCTGATTGAGGCAGCCAAAAAGGGAAATGAAAAAGAAGTGAAGGAGTATGCCCAAGTGTTCCGTGAGCATGCCAACAAACTGGTGGAGGTGAGCGGTCTTTACCTCTTGTGTGCAAGTTCCTCACCTTGAATAGGCTCCAAGAAAGAGCTATGGCTTGGTTATATTGCTACTGATTGTCAAAAAAAATCAGAATGTAGGCTCTGAAATCCGATTGTACGCGAGTGTTTGTTCATCACGTTTTTTTTACTGGAAACGGGATTTCTTTCGATTGGAAATTATTAACACGATGATCGTTTTATTTATTCTTTGCAAATGCTTGAAATACAATTCATATTAGTTTCCATGCAAAATGTGTATTTTCTCAAAAAATATCTGTACATATGGCCGAGTTGATGTGGGTTTGTAATCAAATTAACTGAAATATGCCTGATTCTGTCAAAAATAAAGCTTTGCACGGTTGAGATTGGGTAGTGCTTGAATCGGTGACCACATGCACAAACGCTTGTTATGGGGCTTTCATGGCCGAAAGGTGGCATCATTGGGCAGTGCAGCAAAAATCCCGTTGTCCTGTACTTTTGTGCTCCCCCATGTCTTTGCTCCCCACCTTACCCAAACCGCAATGGCCGGTCTGAAGTATGGTCAAATAATATCCACAACTCACGATGTGGTGTGGCCCTCATCCAGCAGTGGATTGACAACAGGGCTGTGCATTTATGTGCATTAATATGCATGATGCCACACAATGTGAACAATTCTTTGTTGGAATGTAAGCATTGCAACTTAGGCTGGTAAATAGTGCCGACATGTCCTTCCGTTCTGGCAAGCAGCCAACTTGATTGCAAATCACAAATGTTGCTTGGTGTAAACATTTGCCCCAAGCAAAACACATGGCTTTAATTGCTTTGTTTTTTCACAACGAGAATTAATTTGGGGCACTTACGAAAGGTTATGGAACGAATCGCACTGAAGTTAATCACGTACTCTCTGAACATTGAAACGCGTGAGTTTATAATGTTCAAAGATTACCATTGATTTAGATTACAAACTTTATTTCATTAAAGGAATGCAGTAGGTTCTGTTTTTGTTATATTCCCAAAACATTTCTTTAGATAATGGTGAGTCCTTTGTGTGCATATTTAAATATCCTGACATTTCCCAATTTGTCACTTTTTGGGAAAATCAGTTTTCCTTCATTAACTAATGTAATGTAATGGCAGCTGCTTTAATTAACACAATGTCTTAATGAGGTTTTCTTTTTAATATATCAAGAGTACAAGAATAAAAGTACTATAACTCATTAAAAGGGGAGTCTGACAAGTGACACTTTGACCAGTGTTATTCTAAATGTTAATACAATCATATGTTCTGAAAATAAGTGCTTCGAATGATGCTTGCCTGGAAGAGAGAGAAGGAATACATGGATAAGAGAGTGCATAAGGTAAAATACATAATCCAAACTTTAAAAAAGCAAGTGGATTTGGGCAGGACATGTCACTCCCAAGGGATGGTGGAAAATGGTCAAGATTAATAAAGGAGTGGCAGCCATGGGATTAAAAGCATCTGAGATACGTCTTCACGGGAGATGGAGCAATGAAAGCAGCTCTAGTGTAGTTGCTTGGTGATTACATTTTAGAATCATGAGATGACAGCAGTTTTGGAAGGCCTTGATTCTGCAGGGGATTGAAATGTTTAAAAACAGGAAGCATGAAGTTACATTTTCATTAAAATGTGGAATGTTACATTACCTCCTTTGATTACATTTCATGTATGCTTATTGAATGCTTTGCAAAATATATAGAACCGTGCTGTACTTGAACCTTTTGTTATACGTGTGTGCATTACTTTTAAATTCATTCTTGCAGGTGGCCAATCTCGCCTGCTCCCTGTCCAGCAATGAGGAAGGAGTGAAACTTGTCCGCATGGCAGCACAGCAAATCGAGACATTGTGCCCTCAGGTTAGAATGTGGGATTGCATATAATGCCTACTTTAATTTCCACGTTAACATTAACCCTTTCATGCCACGATAAACCTCTCAATTTAAGATGAAAAATCTGTGAAACGTTTGCCTTATTATAACATGTGCTTGAATGCTTTCAGCGCCCAACTGTTTAACCCGTTTTCAAATATTGCCGACTCCAATTATCCAGGTCATTAATGCCGCACTGACTCTGGCTGCCAAGCCCAATAGCAAGATAGCTCAAGATAACATGGATGTGTTTAAGGAGACTTGGGAAAACCAAGTTCGACTCCTCACCGAAGCGGTAGATGACATTACCAGCATTGATGACTTCTTGGCAGTCTCTGGTAAGCTGCTGTTTATTTTGACAAACCTATTTATGTATATTGTTAGATTTGCGTTCTTCTGTTAAGAACTTTCAAAATGAACCTTTCATTTCATACAGTCATTTATTTTACTCGTTATAAAAATAACTTAACACTTCACGTATTTTCCAACTTTATTTTGTGTGGGATCTCAAAACGAGCCATTTTATAAATAGATAAATTAACCTAATTAAGGCTATAAACATAGACCATGGTGACATAGAGGTAATGGATTGCTGTGACCTCAATACTTCATGAATAAGACCAATAAAATTACCCTGAAAGGCAAGGGGCAAACCATTAATCACGTACACAAAATTGCTATTTAGGTCCACCCCAGAAGTCAGCTGTGCACATACACAACTTAAATATGTATTGGATAAATATGCAGATTTTCGTTTTTTAATCTGTATTATACCTGTACATGTTTGTGATAGCACATGATATGTGTATTTCATTGAAAAGCCCAGTGATCTGTGAGCTTCATTGCAGATGAAGGTCTCATTCTTTTAAGGATGTACATGGGATAACCCTTTTTAATCTTAAGATCAGCAGGTACTTTGCAGCTTCCAAATTTATAATTACAAACCGATGCTTTGCAAATTGCATACCTATGATTGAATAAAGTATTCTATCACGAGTGGCACTGGCTATTTATAGCCAACTTCAAATGTATAATTGCTTTGTTACTTCTCGAGTGATTTTTTTTTATCTCAAACAGGTGGAATGCATGGTATCTTTTATGGAGTAGATGTGCAATGTTATGGATGGCTGTATACAACAGGATGCAATTTATCTTGCTTTGAAGTATTTGTAATTCCAATAAGGGATTGGTTAAATAATGTGTGGATTATCTGTTACAGTGATAGTCACATCATTGCGTTTATCAGCAGGATTCTGTGGATAGTCCACTGCCTACATTATTTTGTCATTGACATTTTCTACGGTTGGCTTTTTTCAGAGAACCACATCCTAGAGGATGTGAATAAATGCGTGATGGCACTGCAGGAGGGCGATGTGGATGCCTTGGACCGCACAGCTGGTGCCATTCGTGGCCGCGCTGCACGTGTGGTTCATGTGGTCAATGGAGAAATGGAAAATTACGAACCGGGTATCTACACTGAGAAGGTGCTCGAGAGCACCACCATGTTGGCCGACAGCGGTGAGTGCTGTGATTAATTTAAAAGAACAAAGACACTCCTGATATGCCAACAACTCCATTGTGAAAAACCTGATTATTGAAATACTGTATATGAAGTGTTCAATTATGCATTTACTGTCGATGGCCTATTACTTTATGACGTGGTTCAGTGTTTATAATGAATAATGAATCTTTATTTAATTTGAAGCCTTTGTTAATTCACTGCTGGCTGCTGCATCGGTCATAGTTGGCATTTGATCATACTTCACCACCCTAGACTGTTGGTGAAGGGCAGAGGTGGCCCATGACATTTTCAGATATTCACTTCTGATGTTAGCCATGGCTTTAAATTGATCTCGAATAATTTAGTTCATAGCATAGTGGGCAAACCACTATTCATTTTATAGGTTGTACTTCTTTTGGGCATATCTTTTTTGACAAGAATTAATATCAAGTACAATATAAACCACAGTATCACAGATTTTCAGAAAATATCCCATTAAAGTTATATAGCATTCATGTTTGTTTGGTTTGTGAAGTTAGTCATTTTCTTGAAATGGCTGTTATTTATAATTCGTCTGTACTTTTACTTCAGTGGATTGCTGCCATTCTTTATTGAGAAACATGTTCACAAATAACCATCATTCCTTTTCCCAGTGATGCCAAGATTTGCGGAGCAAGTGGAAAATGCAATAGATGCTCTAAGTTCAAACCCTTCAAGGCCCGTGGATGAAAATGAGTTCATCGATGCTTCTCGTCTGGTGTATGATGGAATACGTGATATCAGGAAGGCTGTGCTTATGATTAGGGTACGAAGTCATGCGATATGGATTCATTTTACTTTTACATTGTCCTTTATATTTAATATCCTCATGGATTGTATTTTACTTTGCATGTAATTGTAGCTAAATCGTTTTCTGTATATGCTGTTTCCTTGAAATCGTTGATTAACTTGTTGTCATTTATTATTGACAGACTCCTGATGAACTGGATGACTCTGACATGGAGGATGAAACGGAAGTCCGCAGCTATACGAGTGTGAAGACTGAGAATGATCAGATCATTGAAGGGAGTGCTCGGGTAAAGCGTTCACTTGAAAAAGAATATAAATCACAATTCCAACGTTGCTTCATACAGCCTGCATGAAAGTGATACTTTTGGCAATGATGTGATAGACCAGGCATAGAACTTTTCTAGAACTCCATTTTATTGTTACCACACAAATAAGTTTGCTAATTTTTATTGCTCTTGAGTTTTTTTGTATTATAGGGAAGAGCTGTGTCCACACTTTCATGGAGTGTGATCAGCAAAGTGATGGAAAGCTCTTGTCATTGCCCTAGGACATAAAAGGTCAACCTGGTGCATTTTAACTAGATGTCAGTCGATTGCTGCAGCAACTGCGCAAGGTCTTTTTACTGATGTATAATGCTGGCATGCATCATGACAGTCTATTCACAGAAGTGTCCTCCATGTCAAATGAGCTATTGTTTTTCAACCGTGCCTCTGGCAACCTGTTCAACAGCAGATTATGTAAAGTATGATGGGTCCTTGACAAAATAGTAATGGTTTCACCATTAACATTCTATCTCTTTAAGATTACTTGTATTAATAGGTATTAAAATATTTCCATATTAATGTAGTACTTTATGAGTTTTACCTTTTACAGTTTGTAGTTTAAATTCAGTGGGGTGGTTATTATTTTTAAATGTATTATAATACGTGTTTTTTTTCTTCCCCTGCCATTACCATCCCTCATGGTCCTGTGATGCCACCATCTATCTCCTTGTACATAAATTGCTCTAATTTCAGCACATGCACAGTGGTTGTCTCACCAGGATATGTTTGCTCCTGTGGTTACCATTAGGATACTAGCTTTACTCTTTGGTTCTATTCGGTAAAGTCACATAGGTAAAAAATAATAAAACAACAAAAATCACGACGTTTCGGCCACAACACAAGCGGCCTTCATCAGGTGAAGGGATCAGGCTGTCTCGGACAGCGCTGGAGTGAAGCACAGCCACGCTTAGACCGCGACCTTTAAGCTGTGTGCGAGGAAACAAGGTGCCTTGACAAAGGAATTAGCATAAACTTTAGCATTTGATTGGCCGACTTAGCATAGAGGTGGTGTAAGTGCGGGTGCACATGCCGTTTGGCGCGGGGGAGTTTACCTATTGATGGTGTGAAAAGGGAATTTTTAAGAGCTGCAAAAGTTTGGGGTACCACTACTTGAAAAATATACTGTACCATTGAAAATTAGTTTAATGTTTGGTTCGATTTAGAACATCTTTCCAATGGTTGCTTAATTTGAAACCATCTTCTCGGTTGAAATTGTGTTTGTAGATCTGAATTTGCCTCGTGAACAAATCTCTGATAACCCGTGGGTTTGCAAAGAACCTTGATATTGGAGAAAATTATATCGTGATCACCCACAGCGTTGTAACAGTGATCAGCTACGGCAGAAGAATTCGTTTTGCCGTGTTTCAAATCTGATTTGTGCTCGCGAATTCGGTCAGAGACATGTCGCTTTGTCTCCCCGATATAGCAATCACCGCAGATACAACTCAATTTGTAAACCCCGGGGTACTGTAAGTCAGGAATGACATCCTTCACGGATGGGATCAGATCACGAATTTTGTGTACTGTATTGAACCGGACCTGGATCTTGTGTTTTAGAATTTTGGAAATCTTTTTAGTAACGCCTGCTATATATGGTAGTGTGATGGTTTTGACCGGAGTATCAAGTGGTTGTTTCTGTATGGAGGGAGAAACAGCTTGGTGGATGGTACGGTCAGAGTATCCATTCCTTTTGAGGGCCAGGTGTACATGTTTTAATTCACTGGTCAGGTGGTATTGGTCCGAAATGCAATGAGCCCTATGGTATAAAGTTTTGATGAGAGAATTGTTTTGGGCTGGGTGGTGGTGGGAATCTGGTTTCAAGTAGGAATCTGTGTGGGTGGGTTTCCTGTAAACAGAATACCCCAATGAGCCATCAGGTCTCAAACAGAACATCTAAGAATGGTAGCTTGCCATCTTCACTTCCATGGTGAATTTGATGGCGGGATGTCTGGAATTGATGTGGTTTAGGAAAAGGTTCAGAGCTGGGAGGCCATGTGGCCAAATGACGAAAGTGTCATCCACATATCTCTTCCACAGGGAAGGTCTGAGGGTGGAAGTCTGGATGGCGTCTGATTCAAATTTCTCCATGAAAATATTGGTTATCACTGGTGACAAGGGGGATCCCATGGGGGTACCCTCATTTTGTTTGTAGAAGGAGCCATTCCAAGTAAAGTAGGTATTGTTGAGACAGTGCCTAACCAGTACAGGTGTATCGGGGTCTAGTCCATGTTGGACCAAATTTTCAATTATTTCAATGGTATCAGGTACTGGGACCTTGGTGAACAAAGAGACCACATCGAAGCTGACAAGGATATCGTCAGGGGACAGTACAACGTCTTTGACCATAGAGACCAATTGGGCTGAGTTAAGTACTGCTGAGGCGGTCTTGCCAGTGAAAGGGAGCAAGGTATCTTGACAGAAAACGGGCTAGTCTATAGGTAGGGGAGTTGATCGTGGATACGATGGGTCGTAGTGGGGTGCCTTCTTTATGAATCTTGGGAAGACCATAGAATCTAGGGGGTCTTGCAGCAGAAGGTTTTAGGGAGGGATGTTTAGTTGGGTCGATTAGGGAGGTCGAACTTGTGGTGATCTTGTTGGTTTTTATCGCTTAGCTATTGGTAGGGTCATTTTTAATTTTTGAGTAACTTCCATCGTTGAGCAGATTCTGGATTTTGTTGTATTAATCTTTATCCATAATTACAGTAGCGTTGCCTTTATCGGCTGAGAGGATGACTATATCACTTCTGTTTTTTAAATTCGCGAGTTCAGAGCGTTCATTTTTGCTGATGTTACTAATGGGTTTCTTAGCATTGTTAAGAATAGTGGCTATTTCAGAGATTTGTTCACAAGGCAATTCAGATCTACAAACAGACACAATTTCAACCGAGAAGATGGTTTCAAATTAAGCAACCATTGGAAAGATGTTCTAAATGGAACCAAACATTAAACTAATTTTCAATGGTACAGTATATTTTTCAAGTATTGGTACCCCAAACTTTCGCAGCTCTTAAAAATTTCCTTTTTACACCATCAATAGTTAAACTCCCCCCCCGTGCCAAACGGCATGTGTACCCGCACTTACACCACCTCTATGCTAAGTCGGCCAATCAAATGCTAATGTTTATGCTAATTCCTTTGTCAAGGCACCTTGTTTCCTCGCACACAGCTTAAAGGTCGCGGTCTGAGCGTGGCTGTGCTTCACTTCAGCGCTGCCCTCGACAGCCTGATCCCTTCACCTGATGAAGGCCGCTTGTGTTGTGGCCGAAACGTCGTGATTTTTGTTGTTTTATTATTTTTTACCTACATGACTTTACCAAATAGAACCCAAAGAGTATGGATCCTTGCAGTCACGAAAGCTTCAAATCTAGATACCAGCTTTGTCCATTGGATCAATCGTCCCTTCTTTTTTGGCAGTCAATATGATTTGTCTGATGGGCATTTATTCTGTGATGTATGTGCTTGAGTTTCTTGTTTTCACTGAAACGTTTACTAGGTAAATTTTGACTGAAAACATTCGTGACTGCAGGAATTCATATTATTGGTTGTTTTTTCTCCACCTGATGAAGACCGCGTGTGTTGCGATTGAGACGTTGTGGGTTTTTTGCTTTTAATTTTGATCTTTTAGTAAAGTCACATAGAATAAAAAAAATAGATGCAAAAACCCACGGCATTTCGATCGCAACACCCAACGGTAACTGCTTATAAGGGCATCCAAAGTGAGTGGGCCCAAGGACGAGTGTATATTGCAGTAAATCTGAAATATTCAATAGAAAAATGTATCGGCGCATGATTATTAATGGAGGGGGGGCGGTGCCCCATGTGGAGTGACGTCACCCGCTAATGGTTATTGTGGAAGGGTGTGGCATGTGGAGTGATGTCACCCGCTCATGATTATTAATGAGGGGAAGGGTGTGGCCTGTGGAGTGCACGATCTTGTGCGGTAGTGTATATTTCCACGTGGGCATGAATATTAATTAATGGGGGGGGGGGGCTCTTTCAGTGACGTCACACACGGATGTAGCACTGCTGCATAGATTTATTTTTGACCGTCACTTTCTGTAAAGAAACATCATTTGAAGAGACTTTGCGTAATACATTATTTCATTTAGCTCGACCTTTGCGTTCGTGTAAAAATCCACCAACTCATGAATATTAATGAGGGGGGGGTGGGCCTCATGTGGATTGACGTCACGTTCAGGACACATTGTTGGCTCATGAATAAGCGGTTGCATTTGGAGGCTTGTCCTCTTTTCTCTCCGCCTGATGAAGACCGCTTGTGTTGCGATCAAAACGTGGGGTTTTGTTTGCTTTTATTTTGAATGTATTTTAATTTTACTTTACTTTTATTTTCTATCTACGTGACTTTACTGAAAGAACCAAGAATATATTATTTCTTGGTATATTACACCTGATAGTTTTTGACGTACGTAATGTCAGGTTCTCATTACAAAATAGGCTTTTTGGTTTCGACCAATATAAAATGTACACGATTGTTGTTGGTGAAAACTGACGAAACATGTGTTTTGGTAGTGCTTTATGTGATTGTCTCGTTTGGTGTAGATATTTAGGCACCTGACTTTTTTTTATTAAGCTCAAGTGTAAACTGTGTGCTGCAATCTCTTCGACTTGTCCAGGCCCTCATGGCTCAGCTGCCCCAAGAGGAGAAGGCCAAGATTGCTGAGCAAGTGGAACGCTTCCAGGAGGAGAAGAGCAAGCTGGATGCCGAGGTGGCCAAGTGGGACGACAGTGGCAATGACATAATTGTCCTCTCGAAGCAGATGTGTATGATCATGATGGAAATGACTGACTTCACCAGGTATTGTAGCCCTGCCAGATATGATGTTTTTTTACTTTGTTTTTAAGTCTGTTGCAAGTGCTTTTGTAAAAAAACGCATCATGCTGTGAAATAAATTAAATATTTTGTTACCATGTAACTTTAATGTCGGTTTTTGGTATCTTAAGTTTCACACATTCTCTTGTTTTAAAAACTGACAAATGTAATACTTGCAAATGCTTCGTCTGTCAAGATACGTGGTGTTAATTGAGCAACACAGTATTTTTAACAGTAATTCAGGGAAACAATTGGAGGATAATGGTCATCAAAGCTGTAATAACGAGTTTTGCACCTTGTTTGAAGTAAATTTCATAATCATTACCCTTAATGCCTTTTAAATTTCATGTGGTGTAACCTCTTTCTTACCCAATGGCTTTCCATCTCTGGTGCAGAGGCAAAGGGCCACTGAAGAATACATCCAATGTCATTAATGCTGCCAAAAAGATTGCAGACTTGGGCTCTAAGATGGACAAACTTGCTCGTGTTATTGCTGACCAGGTAATTGCAGATCCTGAGACCCTAAAGTGCATGTGGTTGGTTGTTTCTGAATGCATGCATGTCATAAAAAATATAAAAGCATTGTATGTTGAATTCAATTAATGGTGCCTGTTGAAATTGTGTTTTATTTCCTGGACAGTGTCCAGATTCAGCTTCAAAGCAGGATCTTCTGGCCTACTTGCAGCGCATTGCCCTGTACTGCCACCAGCTGAATATCTGCAGCAAAGTAAAAGCTGAAGTTCAAAACATCAGTGGAGAAGTTGTTGTTTCTGGGGTAAGACGCCTAACCTGCATATATAAAATGTTTGAAAATCTTTGCAGATATTTCTTTGTCTGCTATGGGCAGAACATGAATCATGCTCCTTGGGAATTTGAGAAGTAATTATTTGATTAAGGAATCTGTAATGTCTTATTTTTACCATCTAATTTCTTTATTCTGCTTATAAAGTTTTGTTTGATTTATTAACCTAAATGTACCAGCATACTATTTGCACAATTTGCTAGAATTGTAAATAATCAGTTCTCATATGCATGTTTTGATGTATTTATCTTGTTGGCTTAAGAACTAATTTTATTTGAACACAGGCATCGTAACATTCCTAGTCAGCAGTACACATCACTTGAGGCTTTTGTGCATTCATTTTCATCTCTGAACTCGTTACATGTCTGTGTATTCCTCTTCAGCTGGACAGCGCAACATCTCTGATTCAGGCAGCCAAGAACCTGATGAACGCTGTTGTACTGACTGTCAAGGCCTCCTACGTGGCATCCAGCAAGTTCCATAAGGTGCAGCACACCAACATCAACTCGCCGGTTGTGTCCTGGAAGATGAAAGCACCCGAGAAGAAGCCGCTTGTGAAGCGCGAGCGGGGTGATGACGTCAGCTCGCACGTCCGTCGGGGCTCGCAGAAGAAGCATATCTCGCCGGTCCAAGCCCTCAGTGAATTTAAGGGAAGAGAAACGTACTAGTGTGGCAACAGCGTGGAAAGTTTTCTCCCCTGTTTGAATGACTTGGCTGTGGTGTGTAGGTTAGGTTGTTAGCAAACTTGTACATACAAGTTTTTTTTTGTGTTCGCAAACTTGTGAGTACAAGTTTAGTTCAAGATGATTTTTCATGGCTTCAAAAAACATTTTCTCATGTGGGATATAAATCATTTTTAGTGGCTTGACATGTTGAAGCTATTAATTTTACCAAGATAAGTGAAATTATTTTACTCGGTGGTTTAATAAAACGGTTACTATTGTTTATCATTGCAAACATCTTTTCTACTTTAGTTTTGGTTTAGATTGGGTCACCTTAACCTAAATGTGTCTTGTATATTGTATGTGATTTTTTTTAAGTGGGTGAATTTTATTGGTACCCATGGCATGAGTCATTTTACTACATTAGCTTTGAAAATGTCACAAATCAGAAATGTTCGTGTTAATGGCCATTTTAACCCATTTTATACATCCAGATTAATTTATATTCTATGATTTACATTTTTAGTAATATATAATATGCCAAATTCAGAAAATTGTTAGTTCTTTAGGTACCAATAAAATATTGCCTGGATGGTTTGCAGTAAAGTTTCTACTCAATCCTATACAGCTTGTTTTAAAGAAATATGATACTAACAAAAGTAAAAGTGAGTACTTAAAGGAATTACATTTCCAGGCATCTTAATTTCTTTAGGAGTGCTCTCGGTTATTTCATATTGCTAGAAATAGATTGGTTTAATGTGGTTCATTAATGTCCAGGTAATGACTACGCTTGCTATGAGTTACAAATCTGTTATAAATGGCTAATGCTGGTATGTTTTCATATGGATAAAATGCACATAGCATCCAGTGCAAAGGGATTTTTTGTGCAAATAGATTTTGAAGTATTCATAGTTTGGCCGATTTGAACACTGCATAAAACAAATAAGGTTAATGCCCTTTCATATCAATGAATGCAAAGTAAAACGAATCAAAGCACAGTGTTTAACCATTCGGTCTCTGATGCATTTAATGTTTAGTTATGAAATCGGCTCAAATCTAACAATATATCAATAGTTACAATTCCTTTAAGTTTTATACTGATACACTTCAAGTACATCAAGTGAAGGTTTTTTTAATACTGTAGTTTAATATTTTGAAGATTTTGGTTTAGGTTTCATTAACAGTACTTTTAACAGTACAATTGTGTTTATCAACCTATTAACATAGTGCTTTGGTTTTTAAAGTAATGTTTAGGTTTTGAGCTTTTTCTAATAATTTGATGCATTTTTCTGATTAAATTCATTTTCATTTTATACTGTATGCAAATAGCTGCCAATAGATAAAAAAAAGTTATACTGGAAAATAGGAGTTCATTCATATTTTGTATCTGGTATTTTAAAGTGTAACAAAGGAAGTTATGTGGTATTTATGCAATCCTAAAATATAATCTTCATCTACCGACTGTGCTTTAAAAGAAAAAAAACCTTAAAATTTCTTATTTTCCACATAGATATAAAATAACTACAGTAACTAAGTATAGTGAAATGTCTTGTAATTATTATGGTGCATGGTTATAGTGGTAGAGTTGCAGTGAGCAGGTGTTGTGTTTTTTATTCAGCATTAGTATTTTTGATTTATTTGCTTTTTAAGTGCATGTTCTGTAGTGTTAGAAATGTCTTATTTTACCTTACTGCTATGTAATGAATAATCACCAATAAAGTTTTAAGATGGGCTAAACGATGTATTTTTAAGCACGTAGAATTGTCACTTACCTGCAATGGCCATTGGCATCATGCTATACATGTCATGACATTTCAGACAAAAGCACATGCAGCCAAACCATTTACAAGGGTTAGTGCACAATGTACCAGGTGACACGAGTTCAGTTCACAGCCACGCCATGCGTCAGTGGTGAGTGAAATGTGAACCATTCCTGCCCTACATCTCACTAACCAATACTGACTCGCGTGGTGAATTATGGCAAAACGATGCCACATGTTATCGAGACCTTCAGAAATGGACTGGCCATGGTGAAAGTAAAGTTGAATAAGGGTTAATTATATACACCCGCTAATCTGAATCAACTTTGTCTCCAGTGTTTTAGGGGCAAGATGGATTGGCATGCATTTACACGAAAGGCTTGGTGATATTTAATCTGTCATTAAGTAGAGTATGGAGAAATGCTTAACTGATATGGAAACGAGTAGACTTTGTTAATTGTTTACAGTATATGTTAATTACGTTGCTATTTTAACACTGGGTTCCATTTGCTGTCGTTTGCATGTTCAATTCACCTTTTGAACTTTCTCAGACCCATTCCAGAATATTTGAAACTGTAAATAGTTTTAAGCAACCACCAAATCGTTTCCCCCTGATCCTTAACCTTAAAATTAAGTTGAGTGCTTGGGTTTTCCTCCGTAGGTTTCATGTTAAACTCCATATTGGCAATTTAGTTGGTGGGATGATTTTATTTTAGCACATTGCAGCGGTGTTGGGAAGTGAGAGGTTACTTCCAGGCTTGACAAAACGTTGCCTCGGCTCAGTGAGTCAACCTGTTTGGGGTTTCATTAGCGCAGCACGGTTTTGGCACCATATCCATGGTGATAGAAAAAAAGCTGGCTTCATCATGAGGCAAGTGTTCCATGGACACCTGCCACTGCCTTAGACCCCAGAATTAACCGTTCCAATGTCACGAGCGGTTGCCAACACGTGTCAAAAGAACAACAGTGATGTTAACTGGTGGCTGATTGGAAGTGCCTGTTGGTGAAAGGTCACTGGCCACAGAGGACTGAGGTCCTGGTCACACCGAATGCGTATAACATCCTCGTGTGTAAGTCGAAGGAGTTGGTGGCACTGAAGGTGTTCACAATGGTATTTGGAATTCATATTCGTTGTTTTTGTTTGTAAAGTCACGTAGATAGGTTCAAAGAAAATCACCAAAATACGACGATTCGTTTTTTGTTTTGTTTTAGGGGTTAGTCTTCAGAAGCCTTGAGGCTAACCCCCCCTTTTCCTGATGACGACCGCTTATTGCGATCGAAACGGCGTAGTTTTTTGATATTTTGTTTAACCTATCTACGTGGCTTTACCTAAAGACCCAAAGAATATGAATTCCTGTAGATACGAAAGCTTTGTCAAGGTATTTGGAATCTCAGAACCTAGTCCCGATTAGAGATTCGCCTCATCCACCCGCAGGAAGAACACTGGCTTGCGTAAGTTAACTTGACAGACTCTTTCCTGGATGTGCGCATTAGGGAGGTTCACAGGCATGTCCCTGCATTTCGCAGTAAGGGATCTTCAGCGATTGGCATTCAAGCTCTTGTCACGTGTGCTCAAGTTTTGGTGGCGTTAGAAGCGAGCTTCAGGAGGTGGAAAGTCTGCACCTATCCGTGCTTTGACAACCTTCAGGGCGGTTTCTCAATCCATATTGTCCCAGATGAAGAATTTTTTTTGGCTGGTTTTGTCTCCGTTTCTACATGGAAGCATGAGCAGACGGGGTACGTGTTGCCAAGGGATTTGCGCTCCATGGAAGATTGGTCGCAAACAAGTGGGAAAATATAAACTTCCTCGAGCCCGGGGTGATAAAATATTTCTGACAGCCATGTGGCTTACAGGTCCAAGTAGCTGAGCTAAAAAATATTCCTGGGTTTAAAACAAAGTTACCTGGTTACAGCAGATTCTCAAATGTAATGAGTTGACATTCTAAGACTGGCCACCAATTACCGTGCACACAAAATATCACATTTAATTTGGTTCTCTTAATGTAGCTACAGTTCTAGTTTGGAGAAGTAAAAATATTGACTTATGTGATGCCATTACTTTCTGCCAAGGTGAATGGAAAAATGATACCCTCTACTTTGTGGACAAGAGGTCTCTTGAAGGACTTTCAGATGTAGCTCTGGGATAACATTTACGTGGGTCGCTATCTAACACGTTGCATTGCTCTGCAAAAGATGCAAATATGCAATTGGGATAAAAACAAATGTGGGTATCCAGGTTTAGGGATCAATAGACTGAGGTTGCATTTATACAATGGACGGCTGTGTGGCTTGTCCTGTATTGTTTTGAGGCTTAAAAATTGTTAGGACTGTGTGGCGACTTGTAAAGGTTTCCAGTATCAGTGCTGTCAGATGTACTTTTGCGGCCGTCTGGAACGCTCTACCGATATTAGGAAGCCACTTGAAAACTCATTTCTTATTAACTGCTTTTTCATGTTTAGTTTGTTGTCCTTCCCCCGCACCTGATTAGCACGTTTGGCTACTTACGGTGCGAAATAAGTTCAACTACATACATACTGTAGCAGTGGCTTGTGTGCTGAGCTGCAAGGGCTGGGGTGTTTATTGAGGCAATGTAGCAGGGTTCCTCTGTCAGACATTGTCATGTCAACTCTGTTGGCGCGAGGTTTGGCAGGGTGGTTTTGTCAGCCAGCTTAGCAATCCTAATTCAGGCCCTTTTGTTTTGGGGACACTTGGATTCAAGGCTGGTTCAGGAATATGATCACAACGTGAATCTGAAAAGCAGTGGCGGATCTAGAAATGTCCCAGGAAGGGGGGGGGGGGGGGGGGGTGGAGGCGAGGGGACACAAAATGTCAAACTTTTAAATAGGTTGCTACATTTATTGACGTAAAAAGTCACGGACATTTTTCCGTAAATAATTAAATATCAAAGTGTGTGTGGCCAGGAGGGACAACCCGGTCGGCTGCCATGGGTTTCGCTACTTCCTAAAACTGCATCGATTGTTGTTATCTGAATGTCAGCAAAGGGCGCGATCAACATTTAGGGATTTATTCAAAATGCAGGTACCTGTAATATTAACATAATTTCTGTAACGTCCTTCTGATATACATCACAGAAAGTGTGTGTGCGTTTACGGATACCGTGGTGTTTCTAGAACTGTTTTAATAGTTGTAAAAAAAAATGGTTTAATGCAATACCATTAGACCCATTAATCAGTCTCTGTGGAAACCTGGTGACACTCCATTATATGGAGAGGTAGAGAATACAGTACTCAATTATTGATACTGTATATTAATATCGTAATGCTGTTTTCTAGTGTAGAGAGAGATAGATGATTTGATTACAAGATTAAATGTAGGTTAGTGAATAATGTTTTTTTCCCCCATGCACATTTCTATTTCGAGTAAAAGGTGAGGTAAGTATATTTAAATTACATTTCGATCCAGGCAGTCACAAACTTCAGTATTCACTCCATCTCTCTGGCCTTTCTATGTGCTATGAAGAAGGATGGGTGATTACAAAAAAAAAAACTTCCCCTATTAAATACAAGCATATGCTTGTTTCCCTTCGCGGGCAGTCTTATTGACAAATGTGTTTGGTAAGTATATGTAAAGTATTAAAAACAAAATTCCCCCATGCAAACAAGGCACGTGATTCGTGGTGGTTGATCTCAATTCTGGAAAGAGCAGGTAAACATGCATAAGGTGATCATAATAATTTTGATTGTGCTCTTACGTGTCCACGGCTGTGTGATGTTTAGGGCCTGAGCTCAAAAAGTGTTAACAAGAAACGATGGCCTTGCATGAATGCATTCTATTGATGGTCAAATACGCATGACAATGTTTCAATTTCCTCACTTGATATTGAAATGTTATGGAATTACACTTTAAATATGACTGGTGGAGGATAGGCAACAACAACAAAATGTCTCATGTTCCGTGTTTTTGAACTTTGGAAGCCACGTAATTTGGTATGAATAGAGAAACCATTAAACCAAGATTTTGCAGTCGTAAAAGCAATTTGCTTTCAATTAAACGAAGATATATTAATTCACACAGAGTATTGAGCAAATAGTGTGTGCTCTGTTTAATAAAAAGGGATTATTCGTTTCGCATATTGAATCAGGAGACACATGCTCCGGACAGCGACCCATATAATACGGAGATTAATAGGGGGTGTGACTTACATTCATATCATTCGTGAAAGACGAGTGGCAGTGCGCAGCTTTCAGTGATGTCATAATAATCACGAGTTTAAACTCCAAAATGCACATTAACTCTTAATTGTGTTGCGGTGGGCACAGAAACAAAGCTATAAATTTCGTTAGACCTCCTTTGCCAGTACCAAAATGTAATAATAGGGTTTTTTCCCCTTTTTTCTGGCAACAAAACTGAAACCTTTTTACAAGGATTCATGTTACTGCATTAACCACAATACCTGCAGTCAAAATGCAAACAAAAAACATACTATGATAATATGATGATGCATTGTCCTTGAAACTGATTGGTCCACACCAAGGGACGGCTTTCTTTTGAGCCTCGACCCAATTGGTGCTCGACCAGATGACGCCAAATCGTAGTATGTTTTTTTGTTTGCATTTTGACTGCAGGTATTGTGGTTAATGCAGACATGAATCCTTGTAAATAGGTTTCAGTTTTGTTGCCAGAAAAAAAACCCTATTAATAAAGCTATAAATTGTTTACACATTCACAGGGCCGTGACCCTCCCACTGCTTTTGCATCGTACAAAACTGGAGTCGACGCATCTACGCTGTATCCGTCGCTGCAAGTAAAGAAAGCTATAGATGTGCAACGTACTCTGAGGATGGGTCACTTGACCTAGGCGGGGAGGTTATTTAATGGACATCTGTGAAAAAGAGATTGGTAGCTCATCGGATTCCTCCAGTATAAATATTCTGATTCTGTTACGTTGCAAATTTCGAAGATTAGGTCGATAGCATACTTCGGAATAACTCGTTGCACATCAGTTCATTTTGTTCCACT